TAAAATAAAGTGTTACCAAAATTATTTAAACATAAATTCTGAATGACTATACTACCGTCTAAAAGTTTGTGGTCCGTAAGTTTAAAAAAAAAATAAATTAATACTTTTATTTTTCAATTATGCACTAATTTGATCAGAAATGAGAATAAAGACTTTTAAAAACTTAAAAGATTTAAAATAATTTTTGAACTTTTCTTCATCAAAGAATCTTGAAAAAAGTATTATTAAATATTAAATACTAAATTAAATTGTAATGATACTTCACAAAAGTACAGTTTGTTTGTTTTTTACTGTAGTTTTGATCAAATAAATGCAGTCTTGGTGACAATATATTTTTTTAAAAATCTAAACGACTCCAAACTTTTGAACAGTAGTGTATATTGATTTCCAGCTGTCTAGATTCTTGAACTTGAGGGACTGGTCAATTAAAAAGACATTTAGCACCTCTATGTTTGTAGATGTTGATGACACTAAGTGCTCATAGTTCAGGGAAGTCTTTAAAGGACTACTCCTGAAAGAGTGTTGCTTTGTATTGGATTAGAGGAGGGATACTGGATTAGTTTACCTCATTTAGCTGATAAGCACACTGTAAACAAGCTTACTTTCTCCTCAATCCATGCTTCTACTGAGGTTTTGTTTCGTAGAATCACCTTCATCTAAAAGAAAAGAACATTTCTGATCAAAATTCACTTATATAGCAAGCTATGGATTAAACAGACCTTTTTTTGTGAAAGAAAATAAAGAAGCAAAGAAAGGAAGAGCAGTCAATTCAAAATGACAAATCATGTCCTACCTGAATAAAAAACAACATCCCAACAGCAATAGTGGTACCCAGTGCCAGTCCCAGTGCAAAGAGAGTGGCTGCAAATGCTGCAATGCTGAAAGGCATGAAGGGATGGTGGATGTGCCGAGCAGCGCTCATGTCAATCTTCACTGAGCTCCAGCCAAATGAGATCTAGAGCCAAGAAAATGGGCAGCACATCATCACAACAACCACGAGTAAGAAAAGTCGAGCCCGAGCATTAGTCACAAAACGTAAGAACATTTCAACAGAAGCTCATCTTAGCTTAGCCTAGCCATTCCTGAATGAATGTTTTCAGGTAATATTTTACATTACGTGTACATTATGTGTCCGTGCAACAGCTATTGCATGTTATTAGAATAAATTCCAGCAAAAATGAGAATAAATAATGTGAGAAAACACTTACCCGATCATAAAGTTGAGTGTACATGGTCATGATGAATATTAGCGCAGCATGTATGCAGCCCAGTGGAGCAAGCAGGAGGAAGCTGGTGAAGTACGCATGATTCAAGTGACCACAGCAGTTGTTGATCCAGGGACAATGATGATCCATCTTCATCACACACCTGAGGGAAGAAACCATTTTTATATTAATTATACATTTTTGATATATAAAGCAAATAATGGTTTAATAATAAATGAATTCACCCAAAATGAAATTTCATTCAAATAAACAGTCATCATTTACACACATAGTTTCAAACCTTTATGACTATTTTAGAGAATGTTGGGGTCTCCAGGTTTGAAACAATATGAACAGAATTTTTTTTTTTTTTCTAAACTATGCCTTTAAAGCTGAAGTCTGTAATTTATGCGCCTCTGCTGTCATCAAAATGAAAATGCAACAATAATAATTGTTTTCAAACAGGTTTCCTGAAATGGTCGACAAAATAATAGTCCCGCCCCAAACTAACACCACTGGTTCAGCCAATGTTGCTGTGTTTGGTTGGTTGAGATTGTATTTTTGAGGGAAATGAACCTACAAATGGCTTAACTGTCTTAGCATATTAAAGTGGGATGGGAAAAGATATAGTTTTTTTTTTTTTTTAATGACACACTTCAGCTTTAAAATGCATCCATATTAATAGAAACTAGCCTGTTTTTAAACAAATCTACCTGTTACATTTGCGACAGTGATGTGACCTTGGGGCTTTATAGCCTTGGCACAATCTACAGAACTGTAAGTACATAATATCTTGTTGATTCTCCTGTTAGAAAACACAAACAACAACATAAGTCATATTAGACATGCTGATTGCAGACACCTTTAGAAAAAAGACAATATCATACAACAGACACATGCTTTAAAACCTTTGTATACAGTACTGTTAAAAAGTACTGTATAAAAAGTTAAAAAAGATTTTGTTGGAAAGAAATTAATACTTTTATTCAGCACGGATGCATTAAATTATTTAAAAATGACAGTAAAGACTTTTATAATGCTACAAAATATTTATTTCAAATAAATGCTGTTCTTTTGAACTTTTTATTCATCAAAAAATCCTGAAAAAATCACATCGCATTTTTGGACAAAAATATTAAGCAGCATAACTGTTTTCGATATTGATAATAATAAGAAATGTTTCTCAAGCACCAAATCAGCATATTAGAATGATCTCTGAAGGATCATGTGACATTGAAGACTGGAGTAAAGGCTGCTGAAAAATCAGCTTTGCCATAACAGGAATAAATTACATTTTTAAAAATAATGTAATATAGAAAACAGTTACAGTATTTTAAATTGCAATTGTAATAATAATAATAATAATAATATATTACTGTATTTTTTGATCAAATAAATGCAGCCTTGGTGAGAATAAAAGACTTAAAAAAAAATGTAACCCTCTGAAAACAGCCAAAAACAGACTTACCGGTTTCCACTCCAGTGGAATGTAACCAGGGCCTACAAACATGGCATTAAAGTAGTTGTAAAGAATGAGGACAGTCCAGTTAATGAGCATGATGAAGTTAATGCTGCCCCCAGTGGTGTCCAGTGGCCAGTACCAGATTATGGAGTCCAGTATGGCCATGGAGGAGCACACACCGATGACCGTCAGAGCGATGATCGGACCCCAGTGGAACAGCCTCTTGACCTCATGGAGGTTCTCAAACACAATTATAGCAGACAGAATATTCATTGTTTCGGTGGATTTCGGTGTCTTTAAGGTCCTCAATGTAACAGATGAAGTCGTCAGGCGTGTTGTCTATGTTTACTGCAGTGACTTAAAGAGGTCAAAGGGCATCTTTTCTGTCTTCTCCGACACAACCAGCGATCCGCTACGTCACCAGTCACAGGGGCCAGCCGTTTCCTAGAGCTCCAGACTCTGTCAGCGTGTGGCATCCTTCCGTACTAATCCTCTGATCGCCCTATCCTCGAGCTAAAGCCTAGCCATCCATCTGAAGAGAAGGCAGGTGGAGAAAACAAGGAACATGGAAGAGGAAGACAGAATCCAAATGACTCACCTCACACAAAATGTTAACATGGTAACCATAATTTAAGTCAAAATACCACAGTTAACTTTCGTTCCAGTTTATTTCTGTATAACTTGACAAATTAATATGGGATCTGCATAGATAGATAGATAGATAGATTGAAGAAATAGATAGATTGATTGATAGATAGATCTATCAATAACTATAGTCAGACAGACAGACAAAGATATGGACACATAAATATATATTTATATGTATTTTATCTGGTCGGTATTGAAAAGTCAATTTTTAATTTTACGCAAAATGCGATATCCGCCGAGTTATTCTGTCATGTTTTCTCCCTTTTTTTCCAAACCGCGACAAACGCCAGTCTCCCTTTTCTGCAGAATGCGATATATCCGCTCAACCAATCACAGCGCACCATTCCACGCACTGTAAACAGTAACAACCAATCACAGCGCACCATTCCACGCACTCTAGACAGTAATGGCGGCGCTATGAATACACCCGGCATCCTAGTTATCCTCATCTATTTTGTACTTCGTGATCAACAAACAAACAAAAAAAATTAGGGCTGCACGATAAATCGCATGCGATATTTAACGCGCATCTTGTCAGTAAAGTCGGTTCTGTAATCAGCGGTAAATCTCCATCACGTGCGGGCTTTCACATGGACCAGCATTAACTACACAGAGCCGTTGTTCACTGACAAGCTGCGCAAAATCACGATCATATTTTGCGCAGCTTGTCGGTGAACAACGGCATATCTATCTATCTATCTATCTAATGTGATGACATTGCAACTACTTACATTGTAACTAATTGTCTTCACGACACAAAAATGCAATCATACTATGCTTATCCATTTGTGTCCTACATCACTAGTTCTATATCTAAATACTAAGCCCAGTTTGTTTAGTAATGTCATTATAACATAAAGCAGGTCTAAAGAGAAATCAGGACTATGAAGAGAATGCAGGGGTTAATGTTACATGTAAATTATTGTTCTTCAGTGGCTGCACCCCTTGAGTTCTCATGGCACACCCAAAGCTGGTTTCTATGCTCCTGTATTACATCATTTAGGTTAAACTTATTTATCTGTTTCGTATTACCTTTGGATTGTGGATAAACAAATAAATGAAAGAACAAGATTTTTAACATGTTCAGCACCAGAAGAAACTCAGAAACTCTATCAAGTTTGTTGTCAGTCTGCATGAACTGAATCGGCTCTCTATTACTCAACATCCCGTTTAAATGATTTCAGAGTTCATTCAATTTAATTCTACATATATATCGCAATATTGCATTACAATACAGAAGAAAACAGAGTAACTGTAGAAATGAGCTTTATCTCTATAATGACCAATTCATTTGATATCAGACCTTCAATCAATGACATACGCCTCGATAAAGGTCAATGTTACTAATAGAGACATATATGAAGTTTTGTATCTTTCATTATGAAGACATCAAGATATTTAGCTTTGATTACTGAAGAGACGGTTTTGAAAATGAAAAATTAATCGTTAACACCTACCTCGACATTTCCTTGTGCGATGAGAGTCTAAAAAAACTGACAGCCACGCTTAATATGAATCGACGAACTTGCTATTTAACGCAGGTAATATTGTCAGAAGCGAACTCTTTTTTTTTAAATAACAAAAACACAATTCAGCGAGAAAGATAATACAAATACACGCGCGAATTACACCACAGCGGAACCATTTACAGGAAGAGATCGTGAACAAATTCCCGTAGCACCACCCGGAAGTGACGCAGACGTCAATAAGAAGAAGACACAAGCAACAGTGTATAGCGCAGCACAGTGCATCCTTCTTTTAATATTTTAAAACAAAAATACAACATGTCTTCGGATTTTGAAGCGTACGAGCAGGACTTTGGCACCCTCACCGCGGATATAACCAACAAAATTGGAAGAATACCCAAACTAGCCGGTGGTAAGTGGCTGGTAAATGAGCTACTAGCGAAACATTCATGTCAGGAAGACATAAACAACTAATTTAATGATTCATTTCGGCTGCTGGTGTGTCTGGTCGGTATATAGTTAGAAACGTCCCATATAATTTGTCAAATGAGCTATGGTTTCATGAGGGTCATGGTGTCAGATATCCAGTGTGTCAGATGAGTCTCCAGTGCTGTCTGAAGATACAGGATTTGGGTGACATGGATCTTGGATGTCATGTTGTGTTTGTTGGAGTTAAAGAGTTGGCTGAAGTAGAGAAAAATATAAGTTTGGAGCTCTCAGCATTCAACAGCATACAGTATAGACAGTATTCAGTGAGATAGAGATGCAAGATCCTACTTTGACAATCTGCTGTTATTATGAACATAACACAACAACAACAAATTTTGTCAGACTTAAAGACTTGGATACAATAGGTTAGAAATCTTTTATATATTTCAGGCCAAGGATTGAGAGATGGGACAGGACCCTCAGTGACATATTGTGTAAGAATTAGTGTTGCATTTTAAGCCTGGCTGTCTTACATTTCTATCAGATTGTATTTACTCTTACACGTTATTAAGATGCTTACATTAGCCATATAATTTTGCATTACATATTTTACAATTTTACTTAATATGTTTTGATGTGGTAGGAACAGTGAAACATTTAGCTAAACTTATGTCATGACCCTTCAGGACTAGTCACATGATCCTTCAGAAATCATTTTAATGTGCTGATTTGGTGCTCATGAAATATTTCTTACTACTGTCAATGTTTAAAACAGTTTTTGTTACCTCATATTTTTGTGGAAACCGTGAAAAAAAATTCTTTTATTCACCAAGTGCACATTAAAATAATCAAAAATGACAGTGAAGACCTTTATAATGTAACAAAAGATTTCTACCTATTTCAAATAACTAACTCTTTCATTGAACTTTCTATTCAACAAAGAATCCTGAAAAAAATGTATCACAGTTTCCTCAAAAATATTAACTAGCAAAAACTGTGTTAAACATTGATAATAATAACCATCAAAAACTGATAATAATTAATAATTGAGCAAAAAATACGCATATTAGAATGATTTCTGAAGGATAATGTGTCACTGAAGACTGGAGTAATGGCTGCTAAAAATTCAGGTGGTCCCCTGCAGTACCGCCATGGAGCCCCTAGAGGTCGTGGACCCCTGTTGTATCCCCCTTTACTAGGTCAGCATAGGCGCTGTATACTGTGCCACATAGATGTACACAGAAGCAGTTTATGTCAACATTTCTATGCTAAACTCGGACTGATTGATTAAAAATTAGCTCCAGCTGGGACCCTTTAGGACTGCAAGTTGTCATAAGTCTACTTCTACATCTGTAAAGCTACTGTTGTTTTACTTATGTGCGTTTAATTATTCAAATCAGACAAATACGTTGCCATGGGGACGATGCTTGGATGCTATGAGATGAGTGTGATGTTGGATAGGTGAGAGAACGCTCAGAGGGTCTAAAAATAACTTTATTAGAAAATATAATCAAACCTGTGTTTATAAAGGATTTTCTTTCTAGTCATAACAGTGTCCCATAAGCCCATAAGAAATATGTTTCATGCTCTTATGTTCTGTCTGATATTATTTGGCTGAATGGTAGGACGATAGCAGAGGTTTGTATGAATAGATAACAAAAGAAAGCAGAAAATAAAACATCTGAAATCAAGAATAGAATGAAATACATCCTGTGTATTTTGCACAGCAGATGAACTATACCCTACTATTGTTCAGAATTTTTGGGGTCAGTAAGACTTTTTTAAAATTGGTAACGCTTTAGTTTAGGAACCAATTCTCACTATTAACTAGTTGCTTAATCAACATGCATATTGACTGTTTATTAGTACTTATAAAACACATATTAATGCCTTATTCTGCATGACCATATTTTATATCCCTAATCCTACCCCATACCTAAACTTAACAACTACCGTACTAACTATTAATAAGCAGCAAATTAGGAGCTGTAGAAAATGTTTAACTATTATTTCTGTTAATTTATTTGAGTTTACATAACAAATTTAAAGAGACAAAATTTCTGAATGTATTTGTTTGAAATCACTGAGATGTCTGATACAAGCCTTATGGCCGAGAGAAATGTCAGTGGTTGCTTGAGTTTATTGTTTTCAGTGTTTCTGTATGCTTGTTTACCCTTTTTGAACTGTTCAGGGAAGCAAAAGTGTGGTATTGCTAGATATGGTCTATCCTCTGGAATTTCTCCTCAGGATGCTTTTGAAGTTGATATAACGTTTTGTTTTGCTCACATTGTGAACTTCAGAAATGCAGTTCAGTTTCAGTTCAAAATTCAATACATAAATTTAATTCAAGATCTTGTTCTGACTTTGCTGGATTAGAACTAAAAGTCAGTGAAAGGCAATGAAAGGTTACTTTCATGCAGTCTGGTGACTTTTAATGTTTCAGTCAGTATTAAACCTCAGAGGTCTGGTCTCATAATAACCTGATGTACTCACTCTGTGCTTCTATTGTACGTCAACAAAAGGTGAGAGGGATTAATCACTTATTCAAAATCGTACAGCAGCGTGTGCTCAGTTTAGTGAGCACTGTCAAACAATTGCATGCGATTGGCTTTTCTTTGCATTATTTAAGCATATTGAAAAGAATGAGAATGTGTAATGTGGTGAATTGTTAAAGCTTAAATTGCTTCTTCAGAGTTTGGCAGAAACAAACATTGTGTCATCAGACCGGCCCACCACCAGCTGCTAAATCTATTTAAATAAGTCCACTGAATATGAACAAAGCCATAAGCAAAGCATGCTCATTAGTGATGGCCTAACCTTTCTCACTGTTGCCAGAGGAGTTCAGCTCTTGAATTCAAATCTCAATTATACCTATAAAAAAGTGTTTTTTTTTCTGTTTCCTAGGTACACAAATTTGTTTGCGACCAACAATGGCTTCAACAAAGCAGCTTACGCTATTGTTCTCATGGCATTGTGCAGTGTCACATGTGTAGAAACATTGATAAAAACCAGTGGACAGATATAATGCCCTTGGCCATTTGTTCCCGCTCAAACCGACTAAATTCATTCACTTGAGAATCTCCAAGATGTTTTGTTTTGTTGAACAGCGCAAAACTTGTAGTTGTGAAACATGAATTTGAAAATAATGCAAGGCCTTGCTCCATTAAACATAAATGTGTATGTTTTTTTTAGGTGGATTTGCACAAAGAGAACGAGCTGTCAATCAGTCTCAATGAAAAATTGAGCAGAGATGCAAAGATGCATCTACAAGTCGAACTTTTCTCAGTGCAACGCTTTGCCCAAAGAGCACCTGACCTTGTGGTACTGCCCCATGCACCTGCAATAGTGAGATATATATTTCAACCTGCCCTATGCCAGGGGTGAATAGAGAGGCCCCAGTGTTTGCTCACCTTGTAGAGAATCGCCCCTGGCTGTTTACACTGTGTGGGCTGTGAGGTTGCACACGGATTTTAAAAATGGATTGATGACCACCAAAAGACATTGGAAAGCCAAAGGGCAAAACAGAAGTTCACTTTAGTTTCCATCTTATTGACAGCTTCCCGTTTGATATCGCTTGATGTTTTTTTTCTTCATGATTAGTGCTGTCGCTTGACATGGTTTGATGTGCTTCACTGGTCTTGTTTGATCAGTAGATGTACTGATGTTCTTTCACAGGGTTATTTATTTATAGCGTGCTTCTATCATTACAAAATTCATATTATAAATGAATAGTTCTGGCTCTGATGCTAACTGTTCAAGACAATATTTCATCTGTACTAAAAAGATGTGATGTACAGTAGAAACAGATATTTAGTTAGGGACTATAGTTTCATGTAAAAACAATGAATATATATATATATATATTACAATTTAAAATAAGTGTTTTCTATGTTTATATAAATTTTGACAAGTAATTTATTCCTGTGATGGCAAAACTGAATTTTCAGCAGCCATTACGCCAGTCTTCAATGTCAGAAATACCAGAAAATTCAAATATGGTGATTTTGGTGCTCAAGTAACATTTTTTATTGTTATCAATGTTGAAATTTCGTGTGGTTCCTAACCACACCTCCAAGATTACAGCCTCTCTTATTTTTAGAAAAAGCTTCATGAACATGCTTGGAGAGTTAGATACGATGTACAGTATGTATTTCATCTTTCAAATAAACATTAGTGAGGTGATGCAGATGCAAATTACGAAAGGGAAATTCAGTCATGCTCTATACTTTGGCTTGGCTCTTACCAGTGGATAAAAACCAATAGAACATCATTTTAGTCGTTCTGAGTGGGTGGCAGAATGGCAGAGTTTGGTGGTGCTGACATTGTCTCTCCTCTTTTGAGTTGCCAAGAGGCGTCTCTGCGCTCCTTCACGAAATAACAAAGGCGTTTACATGTGGAAAAATAAGACACATCAAATATGGATCTTTGTGCGTTGAGAATGTGTAAATATATCTTCAAATACAGGCTTGTTTTTATTTGCTCCCTTGTTGTTGCGGGGGAGTCGGGCTGTTGTCATGAAGCACAGCTCCTCCATCCACTGATCAATATGTTTCCTCTTTTTCTCTTTCAGAGGAGAAGACACAGCTGGTTCTAAATGTCGACAAACAGCTTGAAGAAGTCAGAGAGTTGGTGGGTCTTTGATCAGTAATTTCCACTCACTCGTTTTCTAAATAATGAATTTGGAAAAATTCCCCCCCTGCATAAACAACACCTGCAATGTCACCAGTGACATGAGACACTCTTCATCTGGCTGAAGGCTGCTCAGTGCTATCGGTGTGATCACATCCACATAATGCGCTTTTAAGTGACACCGTGCGACACATTTCACACCATTATTGGGGGAAGGCGCTGTGGCAGGTGCCGAAAGGAGGGATGTGTGTTGCATGTAAATTGTCCCATCATGTCATGTTGATTGGACAGTGTAAATCAGCGGGGCCCTTTTGTGCACGCCGGTTTGCTCACATGTGACACGGACACATGTCGTAGTTGTCAGAGCTCAACCGTGCCTGAGGTTTTAATGAAGCGGCACCTCCTAACATGACTTGACTTGCCGGGTGCCTGAATCGATGCCTCTGCGCTGCCTCCAGTTGACAATAAACAAGCTAGACAGTTTAATTGTTTTTGTATCAAAATGGTATGTGAAATAGTTTGATTGTTTACACTGAATTTAATTTATGTTTCTAGCTCGAGCAGATGGACCTGGAGGTTCGAGAGATCCCTGTTCAGAGCCGAGGCATGTACAGCAGCCGTCTGAAGAGCTACAAGCAAGAGATGGAGAAACTTGAGAAAGAGTTTGTGAGTATTAAAAACGTCCTTATACCAAACAAAGCACACGCATATTGAGTGAATGCTTTCATTGGCAACTTCCTTCTTCACATAAACATGCGCACATACACACATGGTCTGAAGCTTGGTTCTTCAACTCTAAAACCACTGAAGGTCATTGAAATTTCCACTGTGGTTAATATAGAGTGTAGTTTTTGCAACTACCACTTGGGCCAATGAGAGCAGACCTGTATTTTTTTGCCAGAAGTCCTTGTTTAGTTATTCATAACTCTATCTGCCCATGAAGAATCCACCCCACACACATCAAACCTCTCAAGGCGCTTTTCCTCTCAAGCCAAATTTTTCCTTTGCTTGTTTTACATCACCACGTTTGTCTTTCTTACTCCCGTACTATAATAATCCTATTAAAATACACATATTTTTGTTTTCTCTGAGGTGGTCACAGTTATGTTATATTGGATAAGGAGTGGATAAACTGAACACAATAAACAAACTTTCAATTTTTAATATTTGGAATATGAGGTTGACCTTGCCTTTGTGTTCTGAGTTTCTGAGAGCAGGTTAATATACTATATTTCTAGTAAACTCTTATGTGTTACAGTAATAATATGAATATATGTTTATAACACATATTTTTGTGTATACTGATATATCTCAGTATATATTTTTTAAAAAGTTATTTTTTTTTTAAACACATTCGTCATTTGTTGTACTTCCACTTTAATCAAGTGCATACATACACTAAAATTATATATATATATATATAAATTTGTGGTTATATATATTATATAGATGGATAGATAGATCTAAAATAATTATCTAAAAGAAATTAAATAACTAAATATATTTATATAGTTTATGTGGCAAGATGGCACAATGAATGAACTAAAATAGATTTTTAATAATAATAGATTGTAAATTTTATCATTTGTCATTCTTCCACATGAATATAAACATTTACATATTACAAATTGAATGTTATCCTTCCATGTGAAGTATATAACTATATTTAATTATAATTTATTTAGTTAGTTATTATAGCATTATTTGTATAATTAATTTTATAAATAAATATATTTATAAATGTATAAAGATTTTTATACTATATATAGTATATAGTATTATGCACACACAAATAAATATATATATGTATATATTTATAAAATAAATAAATCAGTTAACTAAATAAATATATATATTTATGTAATTAATGCGGAAGGATCACTTGTATATATGTGTCCTTTTTGAAAAGGATATAATATATATCACATATAGTATTACATTGGTGTTAAACCGTTTTAAAGCGTTTCAGTCCCTCTGTAGCCTTGTTCTTTTTGCAATCCACTCCATTCACTGATGCCACCATATGAAGTCTCAGCACGCAGCAAATTCTCTTCATCTGAAGTCGTTGCTTTCAAACTCAGCACCTGCACCTAACTCAAGGTGCTCTTGATATCAATTACCAGATGGCTACGGCATCCACAATGATTCCAAAAAGGCTGACATAAATGAGGAGATTTTTGAAAAGGATCTTTTGCCAGTGATCTGATGTTGTGCTGCTGTGCTGATAGCTCAGATCACAGTGGAGATCTCTCTTCTCCGAGGGGCCTCACGTTCCTCACCGTGGGCATTTAATTGGCCGATGATTAATCTTTAGCTTCTCCTGCTTGACTGTTGCTGTGCTTAATTATCATGCAATTAACTCCCGCTGTGATCTGGTTTAGTGCATCGTTCATGGTTTGCATTCCTTTGCCTTTCACCTTGTTTTTTTTAATTTTTTTATATATTTCTATGCAAACTAATCGTGGATATGCAAGATGTTGGGTGCTGTTAACATTTTAAGCCGTCATTTGTTTAAAAAGTGTTTTGTGCTTTCCAAACTCAGTTTAGTAGATTCAACTTTTTCTGATTGTAATAACAATGAAATTGAGAATATTACGTGAATGAAAATTTTTACAATAGTAAATATAATAGTAATGGACAGATGTTTTGGTGTTTTTAGAGTGAGATCTGATTCTGATTGAAAGTCCTTTTTTTCCTTGGTGATTTGAGTTTACGTGCATTTGAAGAACAGATCCCCCTGAAGCCGCAGTTGACAGCAAACCCCAGAAACTTGTCCTGAAGCCGGGAGATTCAGCTGGCTCCTCAGAAGTGCCAAATGCTTTAGCGTGGATGGCTTATCCTCTCTGCCACGCAACGCGAGCACACACGCACACTTCTAAGAGGTGTCAGGGAGAGGGCCATCGCTGCTTTCTCTAAAAAAGCAGAGGCTTTGTTGTGCTTCCACGGGAAATCAAGGCCTTGTCCTGCCCTTCCCCTCCTCTGGCCTCCCTGGAGCTTCTCTCTCTTTACCCTCGCTCGCTCGCACTCACCCGTTCACCCGCGGTTTGAAGTCTTCACTCCATCCCACTCGCCAGACTAAGCCTCCTGTTCGGCAGCAGACGGGGACCGGCCGACCTCTTAACCCTGCCATTTTTCAAGAGAAAGTAGGCAGAAATCAGAAGGACATCCCGAAGGTATGCTCGCTTCATGATGGCTTCATTTTGATAATGGGGGCGCAGGGTCTTAAATCCGAGAACCCCTTTATATTAGCAAAAAGGAGAGTGCTAAAGATATAAAAACAAGCACATGCTCGCAAAACAAAACGAAAAGAAACAAAAAGTAAAAGCTTATTTGTCAGTCAGGGGCTGTGAAAGCCAAACATAAAAGTCAGTGCCTTTCAGCTGCGATTTTGATTGGTCAAAAAAAAAAATTAAGAAATGGAAGCGTAATTTAATAAACACAATTGGGAAAAAATATATCTGTTTAAAGCGAGAAGAAAAGTTTGTCTTCTATGCCTTGTTATATCTGTCCACTCTGTTACTTATATAATACTTTACAGGATCCACAAGCGTTTTTTTTTTCTCCAAACATTAAGTGCTGATATTTTATAAATAAATAAAGATCTCTAAATTCATTCCCCCACTTTTAATCACCGCAGGAGATATTGAATAAAGGAATTATGGAAGATGTCTTAGTGGATTAAATTGACGAACTTACCTGGTTTACACAAAGCTAGATATATTTGAATATTGAAATTTTTTGTAGTTTTCTCTTTGATTTTGTCTCATCAATACAGAGACCATAAACCTAGCTAAACTGCATTATCAGACTCATTCCTGATTCCTGGTTCTGACACATTTCCCTCTGTGAACGACAGATGGCGATATTGTTCAAGGTATCCGGAAGAAATCCTTGCTCATCACTGCTTTTAGGCAATTGCTAATCAAAGCCATTTTCTTAGATATAGGTAGACCGTCGGCCTCTTTTTGACTTCTTTCCTTTGAGGAACCTGGAGATTAAACACTGTGAATATCCTGGGTGATGGGGTACTTGTTTTCAAGTAGAGTTTATAGGCAGAAGGGCTGGGGTCCGGGTGAATGTTTGAGTCCAGGTCTCTCCCACCTTTCTACACTCAAAGACTTTTGCTCAAGTGTTCTGCTTTGCTCTCAGCACATTAGTTTTTTTTTCTTTTTTTCTTTATGAACCTTGTTCTTTTAATAAACTGACTTCAGAGACTAATAGTCTTTTAGCAGCTGGTATCACATTTGCATAATCATTTATGAATGTGCAGTTATTTTAGATTTTATTTTATTTTTTAAACAAAATGAGATTACAGAAAAAGAAATGCAAATTATAATTATTAGTTTTCCTATTTATATTTTGCTAGGACTTAATTTTATGTTTGAATGAATTGTGAATATTTTGGTTATATTAATGCAGAGTTTAATAGCAGTAAGGTTGTGTTTATGACACGGATGTGCTTTTCATTGTAGGGTGCAGATGTATCATTCATAATCATATATCATTAAAACATTTTGTTAGGTTTTATTTTATATTGTGGTTTTTACAAGAGTATTTGCTAGATATAGAGAAAATGTGGATCTGAAATCATGTCATTTGTGAAGCATGGTTGAACTCCTAAGCCAGAGTTGTGCAAAGAAAATATGTTGTTTAGCTTGCTTGATTGTTCTGTGGATTATAAAGGATATGTACTTTTATAATTTTTGTACAGTCATGAGACAATAATGAGAATTTATCTTATTTTCAATTCCACGTCCCTATTCAAAATTGCGACAATTGCTTGAATAATTCCTGCAAACAATAAGTAAATTGCATTCCTGACTGTAGCTGTTAGTATTTGATATTCAAGAACCCTATAAAGCATTTATCAAGCCATGTTTGCAGTGGTGAACATATTTTGTTATCATTGTTTGGCATTGAATCAATTCAAATGACATGTGAATAATCCCGCGCACTCTAAAGCGGTACTGAACTGCAGTGGAAACGCGAGCCGTGCCGTACCATACTGAGCCTTGCCGAGCCGAGTCGTACCACGCAGTGGAAAAGCGCCAAAAGATTGTTTATCAGAGCAGATGATTTTTTTTATAGGTGTTGTGGTTGTGAAGAAAGTGTAAATGACCTTGAAAGAAAATTAATATTAAGGTTAATACACTATAAAATACTGAATTATGTAGAACATCTTTAAGTTAAATAGAAGCTCTGTCCTCATGGACAGATATTTTTGCTGTATATTTATTTAGTAATTATTGAAGAATACATTTTCAGGGTTTTCTCAGAGTTGGCTGACCTCAGTACTGAGCCATTTTGTAAGGTCTAAGGATTGTTTATAATGACCAATAACATAAAAACATGACCATGAGTTTAATCAGATTTATCAAAGGCAGTTGTAGTAATATGTCTAATATTAAGTGTATGAGAAGTTTACATGTGAAATTGTACAATGTGACCTAGTTTTCCAATGGTAAATTTGCCCTAGTTGTTAAAAATGTCAGATTGTGGGCATCTTTGTTATTTTGTTAAAATTGTCTCGCAAGGGTAAATGGATGCCTTTGAATGATTTGTGACATTTATCAAAAAGTCTTTTAACAATTTGTCAACTGATAGTTATGAAATTACTGGTCAAGGTCCAGGTCACAGATTCTATAAAAAAACATTGTTGGAGTTTG